GACATAGAAAAGGAATTTTTTCTTAAGCTGTGATCATTGAAGAACTGAAGAAGTTTTTGAGAACTTTTTACATGTCATATTAGCATTATAATATTTTATACCTCGAACAAATAATACTTGTTTGCTTTATTGCAAGAGAGGATTTTGAGAAATAACTTATTTTCTCAGCTTAAAGCTTGTCCTTTATCAAAAATCATTTATTTAATGAAAAATAAATTAGACATTTTGAATTTATCATGTAAAAATTTGAAGATTAAACTGAAGTATATTTTAGAAACTTCATTTATTGTGCTAATAGTTTTTAATGTGTAGAGCTTTATTTGTTTGGAAATTTTATTAAAAGAGAGAATGTTTTTTAGGTATAGCGTGAGAATGGTATTTTAAAATTAATGTAAGCTAGTTTATTATTAGAACTTAGCATAATTTCAGAATGAACTGTCAATTATAGGAAATTATATTTCCTGCAAAGGAATAATTATATTTCCTTTTTTAAAATATAATTATGTTTAAGAAATGTGTAAGGAATCTGAGTGCCTTTTCTTTCTCCAACATAAACAGCCATGTCTACTGCATTGTATACCTGTTAATAAAAACACACTGTTAATATTTTTTGTAGACTAAAGTGAGAAAGTGAGTGAGTGTATCTTTGCGGTTTGTTTCTTGAGCTCACATGAATGTTTTGTCTTTGTGTGTTTATGTATTTTTTCATTGATAGTTTAAAAAAAACATAAGAATTGTAAATACTGTAATAATACTGTGTGTATGTTTAAAAATTCTGCATATGACATACACACAAAGTTTGTACATTTTTCCACTGTTTGTATAATTTGACTATAACATTGTAAAAGCTATTGTAGATACATTAAAAACTAGTCTAGTTAGGAGCACAACTCTTTTGACTCCTTCAAATGCCTAAAGTACTCATTCCATCATTGTATATTGTAAATAGCAGCTCAATTTCTACTCAAATTCTTTTCTAATTTAAAATTTATAAGCTGCTACGTTACCAAATCTTGTTGTTACTTAAAAACATTTTGGATCAAATATTGTAGCATCGAGATCATGGGGAAAAGAATTTGAAAAAAAAATCATTATTTTTAAGTATTATTTCATTCTTATCTTTAAATAAAAATGACAAATGCAAAATGTATGTTGCAGTAAATAGAAAATGTTTTATAATACACTTGAAAATTTAGAAATTGTCTACCAATAAATAGCTTATATTTTGTGCCTTGGAGTTTTATTTTTCACCATACAACATCATATTTTTCTTGCATTTAATTCTTTTATTCTTTATTTCCCCTGGGATACAAAATGTTATGGTTTCTTTGAAATGTTGTTTTATGAAAAGTATATGAAAATAATAATTATGCTCATTTGTATGCATGTATTCACAATTACTTTTCTCTTTTAAATATCGATAACTATTAATGAAAGTATATTACGTGAACTTCCCCCCTCCATGGTGGACATAAGTCGTTATAGACGTTGGTCACTTTAAAGTATAGAGGTATCTAATAGGTGGGCCACCGTTACCCCTGTGAAGGGACCACAGCCCTTTGGCACAGCAGTCAGAGTCCCTAACCCCTTATCCACTTGAGTGACATATTGGGTTAACTAAAAGTTTGTGTTCAATAATACTACAGTTACTTTAGTGACATGGACTGTGTTCACCTTGCATGAATAAAATGTGATATGCATTATTTTAATTAACGGATCATTTGTTGTATTTAGAATTCTGTAAGGAAAGTGTAGTAATACACATGTTGATTTCCTTTTTTCATTAGGAGTTTTTTTCATTTAAACCAATGCTTTATAACCATTGAAGCATGCAAGTAAGGCAAAATATCCTGGTAACCTATATGACATCTTACTATAACAGTGTGCTTCATTACGTTTTTAAGATTAAAAAACAAAATGCTATCAAACAAGAGCCTTTCCTTTCACACCTCCAATCTTCTGTTCCTGAAAGAATAACAATCCAGCTCAGATGAAGACTGTCATGTGAAGGACTGGGGTTTCATTTCCTGCTGAAGAGGTATGTCTATCAGTGGCCAGGCGGATAAGACCACTGAATACTGATTGTTTGATCTGGGTTCAAAGTTGGCTAATAAGCTGTTGTATCAGTTTTTTTTTTTTTTTTTTTTTTTTTTTTTTTTTTTTTTGGTTGCTTTTGTGTGTATATACATATAGCATCTATAATATTTTCAAAACATAATCCCAGCATGGTGTCTGAGCAAAATAAATCAGGAAGAGCCTGAAGTGGTGGAACGACTATCACTTAGAGGCTACAGAGCCAGTGACTCTGCAAGAGAACTTAGATACAATTAGATTTTTTAACCCCCAAAAAAAGACATTGGGGTCAGATGGGAAAGCTCCATTCTGATGATTGCCCGTCTGATGAATACACACAGATGAAAGCTGACATTGGTAAAAGACTATATTAATAAAAGGACATATGATTTTTATCAGTATAGTTGGGAATTTGCAGAATCAAAAAAATCACTTGATATTCCAAATATACCTTTATTACTTGTGGCACTTCACAATGGGAGGCAATCTGCTCCCCACAATTTTGATAATTTAATAATGGCCCATTACATTTGAAACAAAAGCAGCAAAGCAAGAGACGTCTTTCAGCCACTAAGCACAAGCAGAGAAAGAGGGAGGGAGTAGGATTGCACGATATTTATAGTAAAATATTTCGTTAATCTGATTGGCTAAAACTTATATGCAATGCAGAAGTTTCAAGATGACATAATGCGGAATATGTTTTCAGATATGACGCAGTTTAGAGAAAGTTATTACTAGAGACAAAGTACCCTCTGTTGTAATATATTCAGCAGCAGGAATTTTGATGGTGTAGAAGTGTTGATCTATAATGACTATAAAATTGGAGACGAAGGCAGATTAAACCTTCAGTTTCTTTTTTTCAGCAACGTGTTACGGCTACACACAAGTCGGCACATTAAAGGTGCCTGTTCCAAAAGGCTTACATTTTTTATAACTTTGTAGCAAGAAAGCAGCAGCAGACAGACAGCAGTCTAGCTAGGCCAAAGCGTGGAAAGCAAGTGCGTTATTTTGAGAGTGAAATCTTATTTAGACTTAGCTTTGGTTCTCAAAGCATTTTGATTGGATAGTTAATATTACTGTAAAATTAATATTGGCTGCTTGAGTTTTAGTTCAATTTACATCACTAGAATTATATAAGAGCCATATGACAGAGATTTTTCTCGAAATGATGCAGTGCAAATAGATGTTGCTATTTTTAGAATAGAGAAAGGAAATTAATTTACGCTGCTAATTTAACCTTTTACATATTCTTTATTTTTCTTACATCAATATCTCCCTCGCAACAGCACGTTATCACTTTCATCAGCTGTGTAGTCCGTAACACGGTCTTTCATCATCATTCATTTATACTTATGTATCGTGATTTATTCTATACAGTAAGATCCCACTTAAAGCGGGGGATACGTTCCATCAAAGTAGAGCTTAATGCAAAACAACGCTAAACGAGGCTATCTTAACATGTAAATAATGGGGTTAGGGGAAGATGGATAGAAAATCGGTTAGGTATTAAATTAAGTAATGTTTTTTTAATAAAAATAAAACCAAACCATTTATTTTTACAAAAATAAAAACAATATAAACGAATATACTTATAAAAACAAATAAAATTCTAAGTCAGTCAGATCATCATTCAGTCTATTCTGTGTTTCCAATTTTCTGTCTTTTTGTCAAGAAGGCATTATGATAGATTGGCTTAATGGCATATTGCATTCAGTTTCGTCGTCAATCCATATAGACAGTCGTTTTTCCATTTCCTTTAGCATTATATGAAGTGTAAAGTGAGTGATTCACTTGAGTAAAGTGAATGCGAACTAGTTTTTCTTAAAGTGTTTTCCACGAAGGCATTCCTTTCCTTAGACAGCTGTGCCAACTAGCGGCCGAGCAGTAAAGTCACTGAACACCTGTGTCAATCCGGGTGCGAGTCTTGGCGAACGGGCTGGTTGCGTGGAAGTTTTCATGGTTTTTCCCATGTATAACGTCGGTACGAGCAAATTTCCTTAAAAATCTTCCTTTCTGCATGAAGACATCTCTCCCACAGGCAGATAGCCTTAAGTAAGTTCTTTTTCCTTACTCAATTAATTAGTTAACCATTAGGCCACTAGCTGTCTCGTACTTTGCCATAATCTAAAAATTTAAATTTGAGCATCGGTTATATCACCGGCAACCCAAGTTCTGTATGTTTGAGGGTCAATTTAAGTTGTGTCATGAGGCCGCAGAAAATATAATGTTAATAAAATATTTTAAGTAATTTCAAGATTCTCGAGGAATTAGTTTTAACTAATGAGGAGTTAGTTTTAACTAATGCATGAAAATAATCCTAAGATAGCCATAAGTATAAAAATATGCATAAATTCAGCCAACAATGGTAAATTTTGTTAACTTAGCCGCAAGCTACCAGTTTGGCCATCATTGGGTTAAACTGATATTTTTTATGTTAATCAAACATGGTAGTAAGAGGCGTCTATTTCTGGCTGTACAAATTTCTAAATTTTTCAATTAAGAATTTAATTATTAATAAAACTGATTAGTAGCATTCGAAGTTAATTTAGATATCCTCTATAACTGACTTCTAGAACATAGCTTATATCTTGTTTCTGTGATGATTAAATGAAAGCAATGATTAAGGATTCGAAATCTTTTGAATACAATAAATATATGCGATATTTTCGATACGATTCCGTTCGTTGAGTTAAAGGAAATATTTACTTTTGATTGACAGTATCTACTCCAGTTTGATGCTACGCTTTTCGGCAGGGAATAAGTTTTTGTTTCGTATGACAGTTTAGCAGATGTTGTTAGGAATAACGTAAAAACGTTGACGCATAGGAATGGCGCCATCTGCCAGTGCCTGCATCTCCATATTTGCCTAATTGTGTTCGTTCCGTTTTAGCATTATCAATAATTGGTAAACAGATTTCAGTCTTCACCAACAGTCTGAAGCTGCCATCCTTGTGACAGTGCTCAGTGGGTGATACTATTTAACGGTGTGAGTAAGTGAGACTTTTTAGATTTAATTCAACAATTAAATTACGCAGAATAGTCTTTCTACTTTTTTTTTTTTTTCATCAAAGAAAATTTTAAAAATAACTTTCAATTCTCTGCAAGCTTTGGATATTATTATTCTATATGGTGCCTACTACATTCTCGTCCCGAAGTTTTATTACAAGATAATGTTAAAATGATGAAATATATATATAGCGTCTTTGAAAAGAAGACAATCTATAGTTTACATTGTTCTTCAAGAAATGAATTCATTTCTAATCTTTAGATAAATTTTGGAATCTGAAGATACGAGCACAGTAATTTTTTATATTTTTAACTTAACTACGTTAGCTTTTATTCTCCGAGTTTATTTGAGATTTAGTACGTTTTTAAGTATGATTAATTTATTCCTTCTTTGTTTTGTTATCAACTTAGTTAAACGACAAATAGATTATTTCAAAAATATTGTGTGTCTCTTGAATAAGTAGTTGTATAAGTCAGTGGTCTCAAACTGGCGGTCTGCTGGCCGCATATGACCTCCGTTGCAATTTTATGCGGCTCGTGAAGACATTTTAATTATGACTTTGCTGCAAACACAATGTTACAAAGATTTCAAAAATTAAATTATTTGAAGGCTGCGATTACATTACATTCATTAGCATTAGCAACGACCGTGAAGAACGCATCGGGAAATCTATAAATGGAGCTAACTTAATTTAAAATGCAATATAAACCTTATACCAAGATTTGGAGATGCAGATTTTATTCACTTTTATTCGTGCTTGTTAACAAATAAATAAGTTCAATTAAAAGTTTTTTCACTAAGAATAATTTCTTACTTTATCAAAATCAAAATGACATCAAGTATCTAGCTGCAGTATGAAATAAAAAAAAAGTGTGTAATGATTTACATACAATATATGTATTTTTATTTATGCGTCATAGAAAAATTTAATAAATAACATAAAAGAGACTAAATTGTCATTATTTATTCTCAAGTTTTCTCCTACTTGGAAAATTTTCTGTGAAAACGTAAGAAATTTTTCATAATTTCTCTCACTTTAAATTAAAGTTATTTTATGATTAATTAAACACGTTAGAGCTATTTTAAATAAACTTCAGTCGGAAAATGTAAGTTTTAGTTGTCAATATATTTGAATTACAAAGTGTAACCAACAAAAATGTCTTGCAGGTACCAGATTTCAGACAAATAAATGTAAGTTTGAATTTTTTTTCCTTTGCGATTACTTAGTAATATTAATTTTTTTTTTAATTTGCTAATGAACATTTTTAATTTTGGTAAAAAGAATTCTGGCTTGTCAGCTGTTTTCAGATCGCACGTGTCTCCCGCGGGCAATTTGACTTTGAGACTGTTAGTACAACCGAATTAAGAAAGAAATAAAATAAGGTAAACTTCTAGACTGTGATACCTTTGACCACGAGATGTCTTTTCGTAAACGTACATGAAATTCAAATTTTTGTACGTGTTCGCCTTACTGCCAAAAGAAAAATCAAATTAAAAAATTGTTCCTTATCTTAGAGGAACGGAGGAGGGAGGAGAAGAAAGACAATCCCCTTCCACACACACAAAAAAAAAAGATCCTGAGGAAGCCTGTCAAAATTAAATGGCAAATAATTTTCATCCGGAAAAAAAAAAAAAAAAAAAAAAAAAAACAATTCGTTAACCCAAAAACAATTCGTTCGATGGAAAATTTCAGAGTTTAGCACTTGTGGTTGGTGGGAATTTGCAACCTATATTTCTGTATTAGAGTTTTTGTTGGCGTAAAAGTTACCTATATCTTACACGTTCGAAAAATCAGAAACTGATTCCGAGTAGTTATCATTAATAATAATCGTATACAATATCCAAAAGCTGAGATATTTTAGGCATTAACAATAATTCTATGCAATAATCAGAAGTTTGAATGAACTAAAATTCATTGAAATCGAAAACAAGTTTTTCTAATACTTGCGCAATAGCTGCAAAGTAAGATAATAATAGTTTATTTACTAAAGAAACATTGATTATATTATCTCTTAATATACATTTAGTAGAATGTATCAAATGAGGGAATCCAGAAGTAGTAAATTTAATTCCGAAAATTGTTTTTTAAAAAGAACTTGAATGTAAATCATGAAAAATAGATTTTGCAAGGTATTTAAATTTAAATCATGAATAACAAAATTTCAAACTTTGAAAACGAAAATTAATAAACCAAGTAATTATCGTCATTGATCGGAAATTAGTTGACTTTTCAAGGGGAATAAACGAACTCCCGTTCAATAAGCAATAATTAATAAAGGCGGTGTTTCGTCTTTTTTACTCAAATGAGAATGATGATGCCAAACTGGCAAATTAAGTTAGGCCAAAATTGTAGTTCCGTTAAATGATTGGATTTTTAGAAAACTTGAGACACTAAATCCAAATTAGAGTACCAAAGAGCTCATTCTGAATGTAGCATTTTCGCTAAGATAATAGATTCTTTAGAAATTTTGAGTGAACAGCCAACTTATGTAGTAAAATTTACAAGATTCTTGAGTAAAGTGTCTCCCGACACCAGTCCCGGATCTAGCGGGGGGCAAGCCGGGGTTCTTGCCCCGGGCGGCAACTCTCGTGGGCGGCAAGTTCAAATACTATAACCAGTATTTTTTAGTTTTCAGATCTCTTCTGTATTCTTTCGTTTTTTTTTTTTTCTTTTTTTCTTTTTTTTCAAATATGCTTGCTTTTAATAGCCCGCACTATATTTAGCGAGACGCGACCATTTATTTAGGACTGTTCAGTGTAATTATGCCAATTCTAAGTTTTTCTTATTAAGGCAATTCATAGTGAATTTCATTTACATTAAAAGAAACCGTCTGTGCGCTAAGGAGGAGAAAAGCGAAATATAGAAAACGAACCAAAGATAAGGCCAAACAGAGAAAACAAATTTCAGCTAAGATGAAAAAATAACTTTACGGAAGAAGTAAACCGTCAGACCCTACCGCAATTCCCATTATGCTGAGATTCTAGAGGGTATTAATATTTCTTGCAATTTGCACGACCAACTATGACTGCCTATATCATACCCAAACAATCTACAAGTCAGCATTTGAAAGAACAACCTTCTTCATCGACATCAAACGAATAGCTAAAGGATAGAAACCATGGTATAAAGATATCTTCATTTAGAGGGGGGCGGGGAGCAGAAAGACGAAAAACTAAAAATTTTGATTTGTTGGACCCATGCATTTGGCTGGTCATTGAAAAAACTAAAAATAAAACCAACAATCTTCCTTAAGCAGTCAATCAGTTGTATTAGCCAGTAAACATCTAGAAAACGTAAACCTCAGTTCCATTGAACTTGATGGCAGACATTTGACATGTAATACAGAGCATTAGTAAATAATGAAAAGCTTAGGAGATCTTGGTTTACATATTTTAAAATCAAGAATGCAATTTTTTACAATACACTCTGCAAGATTTATCAGAAACATGGTGCTGCCGCTATACCATGCTACAGGATTCATTAATTGGAAAAAAGTTTTAAAAATTAACTGAGCACGAAGCGTCTGGAATCCACAGAGGTGCATCATTAAGTGGAAAATTCCAGTACAACAAATGAAATCGGGGGCCAAGGCATCGATCACGACACTGAGCGACTCATTCACACAGAGAAAGAAAAATGGAGAGAAATTCTATATAGTCATGGATGCAGTACTGTATCTTTCAACAAACTGTCGTTCTTTTCTTGGGTCCGATGTATCCCAAGTAGCCTGTTCACAAAGTGTCTTCGACCTAGCAAAGGAAATTTTCTGAATTTAATATCTCCGCTTGCCAAACATAATTCAACTCTTAAGTACCAGTCAAAGCACCAAACAAAGGTAAAGGAATCATGTTTATCAAAGATAATTCAAAATGAAATTATTAACTTAAAGAAAATACCAGTCTGAAGTAGCATTTTGAACGATATTAAAGAAGCCAAATGCTACACAGTAATGCTCGCTTGCTCTCTATATGTGTCTCATACCGAAAAAAAATGAACCAGGTGATTCAATACGTAAGAACGTGTGGTGATGCGTGTGAGATAAAGGAAAATTTAATTGATTTCATAGAAGTTGGTGGAAAGATAGGAGAATATATTTCTCAATGCTTTGCAGAAAATTGGTGTCTTAATTGACACTTGCTAGTTTAGATATTGGACAATGTGTGAGTCTTAGGACAACGATTCTAATATGGATGGCATTTCTAAAACAATACAATATAGGATTACAGAAATGAATAAACTGGAGGATTTCGTGTTATGTTTGGATCACTCCTCGTATCTTGTCGGTGTGCATTCTGCTTCTTCGTGCCCGGAAGCAGTTAATCTGTTTAGAATTACTCAGAAAATACTTCGTTTTTTTGTCGGATGCACTACTCGATGGTATGTTATGAAAAAATGTACAAAATACAACTTAAAAGAAAGCAACCAGACAAGATGATCGGCAAAATATGTGGCTGTGAAAGTCCTTCTAATGAATTTACTAGAAATGTTACAATATTTAAAAGAAATTAAAGATATTTCTCTTAATGTGGAATCAAAGTACGAGGTAGGACATCTGGTACATGCTGTGAAAAATTTAATTTACTATCAACCTGAAAATTTGAGCTAACATTTTTCCAGAATTCAATCGAGTAAATATAGAAATTCAAAAGTAATTCCTCTTCCGTGTTCTGTGTAGTTAACGAAAGACTGACCAAAACTGAGGAATTATAAAAAATGAGAGAAAAATCCTATAGAATATTGGATACAAGAGTCTAAAACAGTAGCCGAAAAAATTGCAGTTGAGTCTAATCTAACGAAAAAAAAATTCCACAGCACAAAAAGCAATCTGAGGAACTGTTTGAGGACGAATCACGTACACTTCAATCTGTTCAGATCGAAGTTTCAGCAAATTAAAACATATTAAAAAAATATCTACGATCATCGGTAAACCAGGAGCGTTTATCAAGTCACGCAATTCTGGCAACCGAAAATCAAATCGTAGATCAAATTATGACGATTCCATGTACTGATTTGCAGAACAAAAGGCTTGCAGAGTAAAATTTAAATTTTCGTTATTAATTCCGTGATATTTTAATAGTGTTAAGGCAGGTAAGAACTTAAAATTACTTATGCAATAGGAAGTATGAAAAACAAGACAGGAAGCACGAATACTCTGAGTGATAGCCCATATTCTGTATAATCTTTTCAGAATTTTTCCTTTCCGCAATAGCCCACATTTTGTATGCAATGGCCCCATTAGTGGCTGAGCAATAAAACCGCTGAGCACTAGTAGTTCGGTCCGAGGGTCAAATATATATGAATGTGCTGGCTGTATGAGCATTTCCGTGATTTTCCCCGTGTGTAACATACATAAGAGCTAGTTTCCCTTACAATTTTTTTTCCACAGGGCATTCCTCCTTTTCCATGCTGTGCCTAATGGCGAAACACATAGTAAATAATCAGACAAATGTCCTGAGCAATGGCCGAGTCATTAAGACCGCTGAATTACTGGTAGTTAGACCTTACCTGGGTTCAAACCCAGGCGAACAGGCTGGCTGCATGGTTTGTTTTTTGGATTTCCTCATGTGTAACGTGAACACGAGCCAGTTTCCGGTAAAACATTGCTCCACGGAAGCACCTCTCCTCTAAGCAGATAGCCCTCCTGTCTTTGCCATATTCATATAATCTGACCTAACATAATTTAACCAGTATGAAATAACACGGAATAGTGAGAAGCTTAGGAGATGCCCCTTCACCCTAGAGTGGAAAAACGAATGGTTTCGAGGACTGGGAGGGTTAGAAGCATTTCAGGATTAGAGTTAGGATTAGGATTGAATCCGAAAGTAAGCTCATCAGAAAGGCGGTTCTCCTAGGAGGGAGAGGATTTTCTAATTATGCAACTTTGGTGCGTATTTTTTCTTTATAACAAACAAAAAAAAAAAAAAAAAAAAAAAAAAAAAAAAACAAGCACGTAAGGAATTTAGTATAAAGTATAAAATGGAACTTAGGTTTTTACTTCAAACCCTGCCTATTTCTGTACAAATTAAAACTTGTTAGAGAAACTTAAAGGATGATGGGTGAGATGGCAGTTTTAGCTTTTGCCCCACATCAGAAAAATCAAAGATCCGGCGCTGCCTGACACCCTCGCTTTTATGCATGTTAATTCAAGACTATTTTTATAAAAATAATAAACAGTAGTAATCGTAACTGG